GGGGGGGGGGGGCACAGAGGGGTTGGGGACCCCCCAAGAACCCCCCCGGGACCCCCTCCCGCGGGGTCGGTACCTTGGAAGCCGAGGAAGTAAAGGGAGTGCCGGGGCTTTCCCCCCACGATGCCGAGGCAGGAGCGGAGCTGCAGCAGCTCCTGCGGGACACGGGGAGGGGGAAACACCGGGATCGGCACCGGGATCAGCACCGGGGTCGGGCCCCGGGGCTCCCCCCCCGTGACCCCCCCCCCCAGACCCACCTTGACACACTCCACGTACACGGGGTTCAGGCTCTCGCCCCCCAACCGCACCGGCACCAGCAGGACGATGCCGCGGCGCTGTCCCGGCATTCCCGATCCCGGCATTCCCGATCCCGGTTCTTCGTGTCCCGGCATTCCCGATCCCGGCATTCCCGGTCCCGGTGCTCCATGTACCGACATTCCCGGTCCCGGCATTCCCGGTCCCGGTGATCCGTGTCCCGCCATTCCCGATCCCGGCATTCCCGGTCCCGGTTCTTCGTGTCCCGGCATTCCCGATCCCGGCATTCCCGGTCCCGGCATTCCCGATCCCGGCATTCCCGGTCCCGGTGCTCCGTGTCCCGCTATTCCCGGTCCCGCCATTCCCGGTCCCGCCATTCCCGATCCCGGCATTCCCAATCCCGCTGTCCCGTTCTCGGGCTCCCCCCGCACCAACCTGGCGACGTCCCCCTTGTAAACTACAAGAAGAAGGGGGAAGGGGCTGCTCATCCCGGTCCTTCCTCCCCCCCCCCCACCCCAAACCGTGACATCCCCCTCCCCGACCCCCCCAATTCGGGGAGGGGTCCCCCGTCCCCCCCTCTCCCCCCGTACCGGTGCAATCCTGAGCCACGTAGACGGCGAGGCCGGGGGTCTCCGGGCACGATTCCACCGCCCCCCTGAGCGGGACGGGACACGCTGGGTCCGGGGGGGGTCCCGAGCGCGGGGGTCTCCCCGCAGTCCCCCCCCCGGTCCCCGCTCACCGCAGGATGTGCGCGGCGATGGCGGGGCCGTACCAGTCCCCGGCGCTCTTGCCGAACTCCCGGCCCAGCTCCACGAGCCGGTGGATGCCGAAGGGGGCGCGGGGGTGGTCGCAGAACCAGGACACGATCCTTCGGTGCCGCCGCTCCGCCTCCGGGGGGACCCGGGGGGGGCCCCGCTTCCCCCCGGGGGGGGACCCCGCGTCCAGCCCGGGGGATCCCATGTCCAGCCCGGGGGGCGCCCGTCCGTTCTGGGGGGGCCGGCTCCGTCCTGGGGGGTCCCGGATCCATCCCGGAGTATCCCGGGTACATCCCAGGGGGTCCCGCGTCCGGCCCGGGGGGTCCTGTGTGCGCCCGGGGGGTCCCGTGTCCAGCCGGGGGGATCCGTGACCGGCCTGGGGGGTCCGGGGTCCGTCCCGGGGGGCCCTGGGTCCGGCCTGGGGGGCTCTGGGTCCATCCTGGGCGCTCCTGGATCCATCCCGGGGGGGCCGTGTCCGTCCTGGGGGGTCCCGGTTCCTCCGGGGGGTCCCGCCCGGCTCCAGCAGCGCCTCCGGCCACGTCCAGTCTGGAACCGGGGGGGGGGGGGGGGGGGGGGGCTTTGGGGGAGTCCCCCGAGGTTCTGTAAGGGTTTGGGGTCCTCCCCGGAGTTTGGGGGTCCTCCCGGGGTTCTGGGGGCTTCCACAGGGGTTTGGGGTCTCTCCTGGGTATTGGGGTCCTCCCCGGGTTCTGAGGGTCCTCCCAGGCTTCTGGGGGGTCCTGCAAGGTTTTGAGGTTCCTCCTGAGTTTTGGGGGTCCCTCTCTGGATTTCAGGGCTCCCCCCTGGGTTCAGGGGTCCCTCCCTGGATTTCTGGGTCCCCCTCAGGCTTGGGGGCCCCTCCCTGAATTTCTGGGTCCCCCCGGGTTTTCAGGGTCCCTCCCTGGATTTTGGGCTCCCCCCCGGGTTTTGGGGGTCCCTCCCTGGATTTCAGGGTCCCCCCTGGGTTCAGGGGTCCCTCCCTGGATTTCAAGGTCCCCCCCTGGGTTCAGGGGTCCCTCCCTGGATTTTGGGGTCCCCCCCGGGTTTTGGGGGTCCCTCCCTGGATTTTGGGGTCCCCCCCGGGTTTTGGGGGTCCCTCCCTGGATTT